CTGATTTTTCTCAAGTCTCAAATTTATAAAACAACTCATACATTTCTTTTAACTCACCAGAGCTAGTTGGTGTTTTTCTTGCATCTGGAAGTGTCCTCTTTTGGTGCTGTGAAAAGTAAGATGAGACAGAAATTATATCAGTTAGGAGCCTTACTGTGCTGCCACCTAACAACACTTGTAAATTTGGCCCTTGACAGCCGGATTCATGAACCTTCTGGGTTTTTTGTCCCTTCTTGGCTTACTGCTGCGATGAGTGCGATTTGAAGATGGCTCCTGAAGAACTAAAAAAAAGAAAGAAAGAAAGGGGGTAAATCAGTCTTACTTGATTAGCCAGTAAAAGCACTGGCACAGGAACAGTGGCAGTCACTGGATCACAGCCCGGCTACAGAGAGAGATGTGAAGTGAGATTGGGGGGGGAAAAATAAGACAAAAAACAACATGAGGAATCTCAAAACACTCTCAAGGTGTCAGACATACAAAAATACGATTGAAAAACAAGGATTCAAGGAAAATCATTATATAAACACAAGGTAAGACAATAAGCATTTAACAAGCATTCTTGCAAAAAAACAAAACATTTAGGCCAAGCAACACAAATGTTCCCAGATATCACCGATGTAAAAGCAATGAGTCAGCTGCACTCACCTTGCACACATGATCAAGTGTGAGGCATCGATTGGCTTCAGGTCGGATAGTCCAGAAAGACTTTTTACCATCTGGAGACATTTCACGAATGAACATGTGATGCAGAGAGAGGTTATAGCGGATGGAATTCTGCAATTATAAAGAAAAAGAAAAAGTATTGAGATGCATCTAGATAAGATTTAAACTGCTGCTTGCTGCAGAGCTGGAAACATATCACACTTTCAGCAGCTCTAAAGTACCTTCCAGCCTGGTTTGGCCACATCTCTATAGTAAGGGAAATTGTCCTCAATCCACATGTAAATCTCTTTGAGGGTCATCCTCCGGTTCTTTCTGCTATTGATAGCAAACTGGATCATGGCCATGTAGGAGTATGGTGGCCTCTTTAACATGGGTTGCTCAGGAGCTTCTGCTCTGGTATGTGTATTGTGTGCCTATATGACAAACAACAAACAAACAAACAGTCAATAAATCTGACAGTGTAACTATTTTCACTTAAATTCACTAATGAACTTCTAATTGGAGCTGACTCTGGTCTTCTCAACATTCTGAGCTCAGTCCTTTCATCTCTCCTGCACCCTTCTAAGCAGACTTTCCTCTCTTGGCATCTCTGACACATCCGTAGCTTGGTTCCAATCACAACTCTTGACCAATCCCAGTTTATTCAACTTAAATCATTTTGCTCTCGTCTATTCCCAGTCACTTCGGGTGTACCCCAAGGTTCAGTCTTAGGCCCCCTTCTCTTCACAATATACATCCACCCTCTTGGTACCATTTTCCACAAATTTGATCTTCATTTTCACTGTTTTACTGATGACACCCAGTTATATCTCTCCTGCAAGGCTTATTCCTCCCTCCCACATTCTTCCCTTACAGAATGCCTATCTGAATTAAAATCCTGGTTCAGCTCTAATTTTCTTAAGCTCAATGAGGATAAAACTGAAATCCTCCTTATTGGCACTTAATCCAACCTACTGAAGGCAAATCATTTCTCACTCACCATTGACAACTCCACAGGTTTCCCTTCATCAAGAGCCTTGGTGTCATCATAGACAGTTCACTATCCTATAAATCTCACTTCAATAATCTCACCCGTTCTGCCTATTTTCATCCACGCAAATTAACATATTAAGTCCTTCTCTTTCCACCAAGTCTACGTCCATTCTTGTCCATAGTCTCGTTACCTCCC